AAAAAAAAAAAAAAAAAAAAAAAAAAAAAAAAAAAAAAAAAAAAAAAAAAAAAAAAAAAAAAAAAAAAAAAAAAAAAAAAAAAAAAAAAAAAGGGCAATGATTGGTAGCCTCCAGATACTGTATGACTCAGGCAGCAGTTTTGTGGAGTGAAGGAAATGGAATATGGGGGATGGATCTGTTATTTTTATTTTAATACAGAAATGTGCCTGAGTCTGGATCTGCAGGAACCAACCCAACCGATCAGTGACGGTACTCTAACGGTGGGGCTAACGCAAGCAAGTCCTCAAACTCATGGCCCTTGGCCATGAGTTTCTCGACAAAGACCATTGATTCTGTTCCCAACGCTCTCTTGCTTTAACATTTTTAGCCATTTTGCCCATCTTTACAGTACTCATCTTTCTGAGGTCGATTTTGGCTTCTCCTCCATATAAATACAAGTTACTTCCCCCCTCTTTCCACGATGCTGTCCTCTTCCCCGCCCTCTGCTTTCCCTCTTCTTTCCGACCGAGCATCACTTCCGTAATTACCTTTGCCAAGATAGCCGCGACCCACCGCTCTTTTCTTTTAGTTATCCCTCTCTCTGCGGCTGGCCCGCTGAAATGCCATCTCTTTCTTTCTGCCTTCCTGTAAGTGCACCCTCGTCCGTGGTTCCCAACCGCTCACATCTCGCGTCGCAGATTCATCCAACGGAGGTACTTAGTTTGGATGAGGACACTTGCTCTGATGTCAGTAAATTGCCCTTAAGCTTCACTAAAGTGGATACTCACGCTCGTCAAGCTGGTCAACCGGTTTGGTAGGAATTTGAGACAGTTACTATCGCTTTACGTGGTACAGAGTTCGAGCGTGTTAGAAGGAGCAAGAAAAGGGGGCCATATTCGATGGCACATCTTAACAACACAGGCTGGGCAATCATCGAATGCTCGGGACGGATGTTTGAAGACATATGATGTGTCGGTTACAATAGACGTGAGTTCGGTATATCTCTGGGGCTTGTCTGACTACTCACTATCTGTCACAGCAATCGGTGCTAGGGGTAGTTCCCTATGTTCTAGACGACCCGGAGCTTAGCAAGGTGAGTGCACTAGAACCAACCATGGGTATATTCTTACCTTGTGATAGCTTGGCCGGGCCCTCGGGGATGATTTTGACGATATCCGGAAACTGAGCTGGGTCCAGTTAGTCGGGGTTCTTCAGTGGCTTCAGGAGGCCAAGATGATCGAAGGCTATAGGGTGCAGGATAACCAAACACAGGCTGAAGTGAACACTCTAGGATTATTAGGCTTGTGCCCATCTCTAACTTTCCGCTCCTATTCAGTCTAACCATGTGTTGATCCCATAGGAAACTATAACACAGACCTTTCGCTCTGCACACCATCTACTTCCAATGACCCTTCCTTGCTGACCAGCGATCACGCATTGTCGAACCTCGAGAACCTTCATCCCCACGCCGTCGACGAGCTGGATCAGATATGGGACCAAATCATAGCGCTACCGGAAGACCGGAATACCACTGAATTCGCTACCCCGGAGCACGTAGCGACACCCATGGGAGCGGGGACGTCTCGCATATTCGATGCTTTAACTTATCCGACACCCCCTCCCTCTGTCAATTCGCCCCAAGTGGGTCGGTCGGTAGCCCTGACAAGCCCTGCTGACAGGATAACGCAGTACCGATCCATTGCTACCCTATTGTCGATTGGTAGCCCTTGTTCGTCCCTAGTAATGACACCCACGGGACCTGCTACGCCTCCTGGGTCTGATACCGAGACTTCATGTTATCCGACCCCATCTACATCTTATTCTCAATCTCCTCTAGCGGTAGAGTCACTCACGCCTCTGAGTCCTGACATTCCGAGACGGAGAAAATCCCGATGCTTAGAGTTGTGCAGATTTGGGAAAGACGGCACAGAGCTCCTCGAACAGAGTAAAATCACGCAAATCCTCGAAGCGGAAGCTGGACTTCTCGCACAGGACCCTCTTAGACCGCTGCAGCCCTTTCTAGGACTCGGCGAAGCAGATACATGTTCCTCGTTAAGTGCACTCGGACTTCCTGTTGTATGGATGGGCCTAAAAGGGGCTGTTAATTACTATAGACTACTTGAAGCCGTGAAGGGGAAAAAAATTGTTCTTTGCCCCTTCGCGAAGCACATAGCGCAAACTTTATTTTATCTCAGCTACAAGTGGTTGGAGAAACATATGGATCAGGGTAGGGCCTCTGTTGCTACGTTAATTCTTAATACCTGCTCTGAGAAACCATCAAAGTCTCGTCGTGACAATGTCACCGGCTATCATGTGCGGCGAGGAAAAATTTGTTGGACGCTTGCAGCGTGCTTGGGCGCCGGTATCTTGTTGCATGGTGGTGATGCCATACGCACTATGTATGTACTCCGGCGACATCCCTTTCGTCAACTAACCCAGACCCGTAGTATCAAGGAGACTTTCAGTGTTGGCCAGCTCAATGTTTTTATATCCTTTGTCTTGCGCACCCGGCCGGGTAGCGTTCATCTTTTTCATTCGCTGGAGCCGGTGGTCAAGGCAATCATACTGGGAGTGCCTGCAGGTGATCTCCGCCCGGTTGTTCTGGCTGATAATAATTTCCTTGTCAGACAAGAGGAACTAAGGTATGCCTATGCAACGGACCAGGAAGCCTTGGCAGACCAGACAACGGAAGAGACATGGCTGGCAATGAATGCCGAGTCTATTGCAAAGGAGAAAATGCCTGAGTTTCTTCCCAATTTCTGACCGTACCATCCTGATTTCGCTGCTTCTGTGTTTACTTAGCGTAGTGTTCCTCTTTTCCTGCATAATATGTTTTAATTTAACCGGTTTGAAGTTATACGAAATACTACCTGCTTTCGCCTTGATAAAGTAACTAAAAACATTCAGCACATGTCCTTGTCTTCTATCTCGTTTAATTTTGGATCCATGGTTTTGTTATGAACGTGCGTGTAGTGATAAGGCAGAGACGGGCAAGCCCGACTAGCGTGCCTGCAGACCAGCGGTGCTTAGTGAGTAGGGAATGCTGTTCATTCGTAAGATACCGATTATCAATGTAGATAAGACGTCCAGCTGACCTTTCTTAAGTCTTGGATGGTTGCGACCGATGCCGTTGCTGACAGGAACTCTAGTGAGTCAGACTGCCAACGGGCACCGTCAATCCCAATCACACCATCAGGCTTCAGATATTTCTGCATAAGAAACATTGTGATATTTGCTAAAGATCGGATAATCTGTGTCTGAGATTGTTGTGGCTCACGCTCGATGCAGTGCTCTAAAGCCCCTATGCAAGACCATAAGCAAAGAGGAAGAGTAGGTGTGGGAACAATCTGTACCAATTTGAATAGTTCCATCTTGCCCCAGGAGGATATTAGAACATGTCAAGGATTGATGCTCAAAGCCATTTTCTAGTAAGTGCGATAATCCATTAAGCACCTCTTTCAGTCAGCGCCCTTTTTCTTGATGCGGTGATCCTATATTCTGTACCTGTGCAAGTATAGAAGCCAGCTGTAACTCAGATGGGAATATATCACAGGCGACCAGGTGTTCCAAAGTCAGAGGCAGGTCATCAACAATAAAATATGTCATGCCATGGTCCTTGAAGATTTCGTTTGCAGAGATAACGTTGGGATGATGGGTCTGCTGGAGTACCTGCAGCCATATATCTGCCTTTTTCTTGGAGAATGCACGGACAGCAATCACTGTAGAGGGGTCCTTTTCATGGACAGCAATCGATACGGGACCTGCAAGATCACAGGTAAAAAGATCTTTCAATGTGTCCCAGGGTGACCCTCTCCGGATAACGGGCGATTGAGCTGCCTGACCCACTCTTTGGGAGCTGCTCTGGGGAACGTCTGGTGCACAGCCAAGGAGTATATTCTTAGAACTTTCTTGCTTCTCCCATTGCTTTGTCCCCTTGGTTGGTTTGTGGTTAACCCGACCTTGAGACTCCTGCGCGGACACTGACTTGGGCATTGGCCGTTTAGCCTGAAAAGACTCGGCGTAAAGTTGTGTGAGTGGCCGGTTGTCCATGGTATGTGATGCCTCCAACTAGAGAGATGAGCTGTTATAGGAAAACAAGATGATGAATATTCCTGGATCCGTTTCGGATGGTGGTCTCCTTTATGGAAAATAAAAAGGTCTTTCAAAGAGGGACGCGGCCGATGTGTGGGGAAATTGGCGCTTCAGCGCTTCAGCGCTCAACCCGCAACAACTCAGTAAAGGTACAAGCAAGTACCGCATAACGTCGACTCAGCTGAACATAAATAGTTCTGCCTCACCTCCGAGTATCGACCAAAAAAGGCCGAAGTTACTTGTAAACTTAAAGCTATGGATTTGTTGACAGATACCGAACGGCGATTAACCGTCGAACGACTCCTAAAGTACCAAGGCACCGCCAAGATCGACCTCAACCAAATCTCTCTCCAGCCACTCATAAGCCGTGAGATTGACCAAAAGAACGTGGAACGATTACGTGATATCTTTGCTAAGGATGGGTGCCAGCGACTCGACATTCGAAATCATGTGACTGCTGTTGTCTCCAGGCAGCACCTCGAAAGAGCATGCCGTGCCGCAGGACTGACCCCCGAAGAACTTAAAACTTGTCAACCGCAATACCCCCGCCTTCTTTTTCGTAGGCATCAAGTACAATGCCTCCATGGGCAACATAGATTGAAAGCTGCTGAGGAGACATTACCTCCCTCAGACCGGTGGTGGACGGTGGACATATATCTGGATGGTCTGATTTCAAAAGCATAATTTCCGAATCCCTACTAATCCTCTCTTGTAGACATAAGCCCTGATCTAAGGACTGCACTCATAGATGAATATTCAAACGAAAAGGCTCCCACTGATGGAGAAGTGTACCGGAAAATCCGCCAGTATCAGCATGAGGCGAACGCGCTCTTTCAAAATCGTTGGTGGACTCGACTATCGCCGAACAAAGCCAAGCGGCTGAGGCAGCTCACTTCTCCAGATAACACACATCTCTGTGCAGCATTTGACGCGTTACTTGCGATCCCCGGGCTTTGGAATGGGATGAGCCTTGGGTTATTAAACACAGTCCTTGCTTTAAAGTGTGATGAAGTTGGTCCTACTCGTCGCTATCTGCAGGCTATCCCTGACTTACTTGTCTTAGGAACTCATTCACTACTTGACACATGTGAAGAATTTTTGGGCAACCCTTGTCAACCATGACCGCACTCGGATGGCCCTTATTGACCTCCACACCGTTGACACCCTGCAGCTTTACGCTCCTCGTGCGTCTAAAGTTGACCGGAAGACGGTGAAGGGGAAAATCCTCGGCGGGGAGGTCTTCTCCAACTTTAGCCGGTCCGAACGTGCGGCAATATGGGAGAAGATCCGGACCCATGAAATGTGCGATGGCATCATCCCATCCCTTCATACCTTTTTCCGCGATATTTCTTACCTAGAACTCTGTGCCAATGCTGTGAAACGGCTGGTTGTTTTAAACAAGCAACAGCTGACCGTGCGACGCGCGCTCGTCCATAGCTTTCGATCTCGTCGCTCCAACGGATCTTGTCTAATCCAGACATCGGAGACTTCTTTCCGACGACAGCCTGGATCTAGGAATGAACGTATATCCTCTGGTTATCGTCAAATCTGGATGTACGCGATGCGACACTACCCGGACATGGCCAAGGATCTTCAGCGCGGCCCAAAGGCTAATCCCACGCGGGCAAAGGCACGAGCGAGGGCGGACGAGAGCGTGATTCATGGAATGGCCACCCTTGCCAAGCAGCTAGGATTTCGTACTCCACCAATTAAGGCGATCCTACGACAATCACCTGACCAGCAGATTGCCCGGGCTGCCCTGCTCAAAGCACGGAAGCCGGATCACTACCACTATGACCATGAGACTTTCGAGTCTCTTGTTGAGCAGATTGCTGGTTATTTTGCGCTCGCTATCCCAAACGAGGCCGCACCGGTGGCGCATATCACGGGACGGGCAATTCAGCTAAAGGAGCGCTGTGGAGTGCCTCAGGAGCAAACCCAGCAACTAGACCGTCCGCATGTCTTCTTTGACACTCTACACTCGGCAACGGTGTCACAAAGAAACCTCTCATCGCTGGAGGTGAGACGAAGCGTTTACTACGCCTTTTTCGGCAAGCCCTCCCCAACAACCTCCCCACGTGCTTCTCCGGGGCATCCATCATCCAGCGAGCCTCTTTCACCATTGTTTATCCCCAGCGATGTTCCGAGATCAGAGTCGGAACCGGCATACGACAATATGTCGGTAAACGGCTCTGATGAGGCGTCATTCCATGGCCGTCAGGATCGTTCGGAAACCCCTGAAGAACAACATCAGAGGCAAGGAGATCGATGGCATCGACACCAAGAAAGACAGCCGGCGGTGGAGCACGGCCCACCTCTTCCCCAAGAGCCTTCCATACCAAGTTCCATAAGAGCAGCGTCTACTATCTCTGAGGTCATGGATATGGATTGCGAAAGGTCTGCCGCAGGAGATCAGATTCGACGGCAGATTGTCGAACAACAGCCGGCAGGTGGCAGAGGAATGGATTCTGGCAGTGAGGAACCGGATGATACGGAGATCGATGAAGATGAACTACGTAACCGATCAGAGGGTGGGAGTCTGGGGGTGGAGGGCACAGGCACTGTGGCTTCTTTGACTTCAGGGGCGCCACGCGACACGGATATGTCCAGCGTGCCAGACGAGGGAGCAGATGCAGTGTACGGGGCCATGGACATGGACATGGGTTCGTCCGCACTGACCCCATCCGAGTCGGTGGAAGATCGTGCTGGTATGCCAGCTACATTATCACGCCAGTTAAGTGCTCAGTTACCAACAATCCCCTCAGTGTGTAACTCGGAGCCAAGCGCGGAGCAACGACCTGGATTTGGTCCGTTGCAACCCATCGCAGAGCACATGGAGCTGGAAGTAACTCGGTCGGTCGACCAGCCGGATGGCCCGGAGCATAATTTGGGAGGACCATTCCCAGCTGAAGCTCTGCAAGGGACAGTCGGAGAACAAATTCCGCCCGGAACGGAGCTCATCACTGGAGCAGGTGACGAATCCCAAGAAGATCTAGTTGCCCGGGAGCGCGCAGATGCTCTTGATCAGCTACAAACACCTGGGGCTATCCCCCGGCCTGTGACTGAGCTTCCATTTGACTTGCCGGATCTGATTACACGATTGCGAGACGAGGGAAGCCAGCTGGAGGATGAACGTGTACCCCTTGTCAATCATCCAACGCAGGGACATCCGGAACCGGGGGCTGGAGTTGCTCTGCCACGTCCTGAACCCCCCGTTCCCAGTGCGATAGAGAGCTCGCGTGGTAGTCCACGGGACGATGAGAATGCCCCACGGTCTCCACGTCCGCGCCTGAGAACCAGTCCGCAACCACGCAAATCAGATGGCGTGCGGAAACTGCGGGCGAAGAACCGACCGACGCATCAAGATCTTAACGGGGCAGGAACTCGGGATGCCGCCATCGCAGATGAATTATGGAATAGTGATGATGGGGATGAAAAGTTGACTGGTGCTGTTGACGCGGGCCCCTCTCCACTGGATACCGAACAATACCCAGCCAATACACCCGATCCGGAACAGGCTCAACGCGAAGCGATTGACAGACAGGAAGAGGAGGATTCCCTGTTTGACACTCCGCATCCGTTGGAAGAGACGGATTCCCAAGAGATGGAAGAGACCCAACGGCGGGTCACGATAACCTTCCAGGTCTACGAGCGGAATCAATGGAGCACTACGGATGTGGTGTCTGTGAGCCCTGATCACCTGGCCGAGGCGCAGATTCTCGCCGACGGATATGCACGCGACCCCAATCGGAATGCGCGTTTCTACGATGGCCAACTCCGCAAAGTTGCAGTCGATGAGTGCATTCGCGCTGCGATTGACGATGGTAGTTTCACTGTCCGGATGAGTTTTGGAAGGGACCTCGTGGTGACCCGGCAGCTTGTCGCGTCTATAGCACCACTTCGGGCTGTTGGCAGTGATGACCCAGAACGTGGGCAGGACCAACCTGGAAAGCGGGTGAAAGCCAATGCCGGCACTGCGTTGGCCGGTCCCGTTGGAACGCCGGAGGATCCAGCTCCGACGGTGACCAGCGCGCTCACCTCGAGTGTGAGCGAGCGACACAATCGCAAAAAACTCACACCTCGGATCGTCGCTCGGCGGGCGCAGGATGTGTGGCCCCATCAGGCAGAGGCAACTCCTCAGCCCGTGACGATCGTGTTCCGGGTCCGAGAAAACGACGGGCGTTGGAAGACGGCGCACGAGGTGGTCGTTGATCGGTCGGATCCATCGCAGGTAGAACGGGTGGCGAGAAAGGAAGCGAGGAACCGGCAGGCAACGTTCTACGATAAGAATCTGCGGCTGCTCACGCCCGCACAATGCTTCAAGGCAGCCATTGAGGATGACACCAATACCATTTTTATGCACTTCGGGGGGGAGCTTGCGATGGACGAAGACACGATGAGGTCAATCGCACGCGATGTGGAACTGTGAGGCCAAGGATCTCCCTTCCTTAGTTACATTGGGCGGTCGGGAGACGAGAAGGGCCGCAAACATGTAGGCAGACGACTGTCTGGGCCTGGCACCCGCCATGGACGCCAGTTGGCGGTCCTCCGTCCATGGTGGTCGTACGACCGTCGCCCTATAATGAAGTCGGTCCGAAGCACAGGGTCTGGCGCTTCTGGCGCTAGACCACTAGACCTTCGCACTCGATCTTACTACAGAGGTCATCGGTATCTGAGCCTACCGCATTGGGCCTCTGCTCCACCCTCTCCGACCTTCTAGGTGATCAGACCACCAGCCTATGGCTGATTTCGGCTTAAAGCCCCGGTCCGATCGTTCACTGGGGCTTCAGGCCAGATCGGCCGTATGGCTAACGGCGTACGTCCCACTGGGTCTCAGGTTTGCCCTTCCTGAGATACAAGAGCTAGGAGTCTCACCGACTTGGGATAATTGGTCCTGGAATGAGCTGATTCCCATGTCGGTATACTCAGGAATATAATTCCCAGGTAACAAGGTATGATTGGTTATACTTAGTGCCTAAACTATGTATACACATATACTTCAAAGTTATGTTCACTTAAGGATTGCTTCCAGAGGCCAGCAGCTTTTGGAGGCCAACATATTCTTAGTTTTAAGGACTAAAATACATCGTATTCATTCAAACAAGCATGCGTCCTCCTTCTAGATGAAATAAATGTCTGTTCAGCTCTTTGTTAAACAGTAAGAACAGGAAGCTGGGTGGTGATACGGTGAACTGATGCAAAGTAATGTACATTTTCACAGTATACTCTCTTAGAAACAGAGCATTTTCAGAGTAATTTGTTGGCCATCTGAGGCCCAAGCGCTGAAGCGCTGAAGCGGGGCGTCAGTTGTCATCCAATAGAAGATGGATGCGTAATGTGAAGCCAGCCCCGCGCTGAAGACGCTAGTGCTATAGGGTTAAGGCTTCCAACACATCTTCGTTCAGAGAGAGGCCAATCGAGACCTACGACCAATCAATCCACGTTTGGCCTTCAGTGGTTCATGAAGCTGATATTTGTCTGTGAACAAAATAACTGTTAATTCAGTATCTTTTGTTACCAATATATGGTAGGGACTATGCTAAATTGACCATAGATTAGTTGGATACTCTAGTGAAGGACATCCAGGCCGATACCAGACATATAAAACTGCTTCAAATCCTGATCCCACGGCTAGAACAACTTGTTAGGAGTGGAATCGCCGAATCTTCACATGTTCTGTAAGGACTGAAAAGAAGCCGAGCTACTGTCCGAAAATGGTCTGCGTGAACTGTAAATACGTTTTGCCTTGGAAGAGGTAGGCAATCAGCCTAAAGTTAGAATATATACTACTGAAGGACCCCCTGCCCGATGGTCAACAGGTCCAAGTTGAGGGCCGGTATGAGATTGGGCCTACCACCAGACTGACGTATAGAAATGAGTGCAAATGGCTGGACCACCGATGAGATAGGCCTGCGTTGGCTGCAGCGGCTATTTATACCTGCTACTACTAGCCGTACTGTTTGTCGATATCGTCTTTCACACTCGATGGCCACGGCAGTCATTTGACACCTCAGTTTGACGATATATGCAGTCCAAACAATATTATACCCCTCTGCATGCCTGCACACTCATCTCACCTACATCAGCCGCTTGATGTAGGCTGCTTTGGCCCCCTAAAACGCGCGTACGGTCGGTTGATAGAGGAGATGAGGTTAGGTTTCAATCATATCGATAAACTTGACTTTCTTCAAGCCTTTCCTCAGGCAAGAGCTCATATATATACTACTAAAGAGGTAATAGCGCGGGAATGGTCTAAAGCTGATGGCCACAGATTACTAATACTAGAACCAGCCGATTCAGGGGAAGCTCGACTGGCGTTGATGGATACGGAAACTGATATGACAGATATAGGACCCCTCAAGACCCTGGAAACTCCACGGCCTGCACAAGCTGCGTTTTCCAATGAAGGGATGGCAACAATGCGCCGAGTTCGCTTTGATGACTCTAGCCGCCGCGATAGCCCTCGGCGCGGAGAATATAGTCTCAGCGAACAGACTGAGCACCGTCCACGAGAAACTGCGCATCATCATGCAGCAGGAATATCCGAGCCTTTGCGAAAAATTACTCGGGTTGACTTTACAGGGTCACAGCTAAACCAACACAGTGATCAGGCAGAGTCAGCGTCTGATACCAGAGGGGCTTAATGCACGCCGATGATAGCTCCTGTGGATAAGTCAATAGACTCTATGTCTTACAGTTCGAGGAATTCAATAGTTCTGCCGATCGATTCACGGATTACCAATAAATATATATGGAGATCATAATTAATTATGATTCAATAGTTTCGCTGATTGTAAAGGTTCATAAAAACAGATTTTCGATCGATCCTGGGCGCCGAGCCAGACCGAGAAGAGTGGGTCTCTGTTACTTTATCTATTGTTACCACCGTCATATAACTAATTGACCCAAATACTAATTTCTAAGTCTGAAGAGCTTTTTTAGCTCTGGGAGTTACCTTGTCCTTTAGATCAAATGACAAAATTGTACAAAATGCTCAAGTTACTCCCTGTACTATAAAGAGAGACTATTCTTAGCAGAGTAAGATCTAACTAAAATAGACTAGTAAGGGGATGCATAGGCCGATCCAAAAACTAGCAATATGATGCATATGCAATAAAATCCTCTGTCATTTAAAAGGGGTTGTTATTGAATGTGCCTTAAAGAATTGGCCACTAAACCAAGACCTCAAAAATATATAAACATAGCCTGTTTTCTAGTTCATCGAGAGCCATATTCCCAAAATCTTCTTTTGAACACTTATCTTATCCCTACACTTCATAATGCGTGTCCAATTTTCCATTATTCTCTATTTCTTATCCTTTGCGATAACCTTTGTCAACCCTGCTTATGCTGATTGCGGGGCCGTTTTAGAGAAGTTCAAAGACGTCTCAGACGAGTTCGAAAACATTTTCCTAGACCTGTGCAAACATAATTGCAATCCATCATACGAAGATTGGCCCTGGTTCGAAAAAAAAGCCATGGGAGTTGTGGTTAAAATTTTTGATGGAAAAGTTCCTGCTCAGTTTCCCGCTCTTTTTAAGGAGCTAAAAGGCAATCTTGCGAAAGATAAGGTGATCAGATCAAAATCCTTTTGCAAGAAATCAACGAGGGAGCAAGCTCTCAAAGTCTCGAAAGATACTATTATGCCAAAAATCCCTATGTTGATGGGACTCATGAGTGAGTGCGAAAAAATCCTGAAGTATCTGAACAACCCAGGTACCTCCCTCAGTTGGAGAAAAATCGCAAATGAATATACGGTATATAAGAAATGCAAGAAATGACAAATGCAAGTGAGATCTTGAAGCTATTGAATGTGAGTCAAATTATCCTCTTCAGTCTATCAACATTTCCAGTCTGATATAACTTTAAAGATTGGACAATTGAGACGTATAAGCGTCTAGCACTTGGACTTAGTAGGGTTAAACGCTGTGGTGGTTCTCGCGACATATTCTCATGGGTGGTGAAGGGTTTTGGTTATGTGGTCTAAGCTCTGATATTAGCTATAATAACCGTTTTGAATTTTATTGGTGATTGACGGTTCGAGATGGCGTGGGCCATATTCGCAGTTGCTCTGGAGTTGGGAATTGGCAATCCCATCATAGATTATTGCAGCAATAGTCTGCGCTGCTTCCGGGGATTTTTCACACAGTTGTTGGATGCTTCTTTAAACCTACTATAATCAGCCAAAGATATCTTATTGGTGTGATTTGTAGCATACTTCTAGTATACAACAAAGATCAGCGTTGACGTCTAAAGCAAATATATCGATAACCTGGCCGAATAATGTGATCAGTGTCTCGTCGGCTTTTGGCAGTTGGTCTTATACAGCTGTGACGTCGTCCTATTGAACATCATGGTCAAGAATACTTTCAGACAGATGTAATAGAATGGGCAGGGGTTACGGGTAAAGAAGATTGGGGCAGAAGGAAACAGTAGAAGTCGAAGAGCCTTTTATAACTGAGGGGGGCGGCTTTCCAGTATCCCAGGATACTGAAAAGTCGCCCAAACGAGTGGCCATCCTCTGTATTACATAGAAAAAGGCCCCATTTTTAGACCTCAATATCGTAACAACCTCTAAATTTAGAGGCATAATATCTAAACTTATTATAGATTATAATAATAATAATATATAGTAGCAAGAAATAAGGAGATAAATAAATAGAAACTATATAATATTAGTCGTACTTTAAATACCGAATTTTCAGCGGTACATAGTTTTCGGGTGCTTGATGCACGAGCAATAAGCTGATTAATATATTTCTTCAAATCTCGAGTTGGCCACTGTTTTCATGGCTTATTTCCAGTGGTTTCCTTAGCGAAATTTCTTAGCATTTCAAGCGTAGGTGGAGGGCCTTTGTCAGTCAGATCATTGATCTAATTTATAAGCGTTTTGGCCTGCTGATTGTTGAGGATTCGTTGATCATTATATTGCTCTTCTCGAGTATGCTGGACACCACGATGACGTCGAGATAGCGTAGATCTACTTATACCATGCTTCTTAGCAATTTGGTATAATTGATTGTTTTGCCTGCTTCCAAGCTTTCGATCTCTGCTAACGCTGCCTGAATTGAAGCCATATTTGCAGAGCTATGGTGTTTTGAAAATGTCAAAATGTTGGTGTCTATCAAAAAATCGGGCGTCAGGTGATAAGATACGGTACGTCCCCACCTTTCAAACCTCACCGAAAAGAGTCTTCTACGTCACAACCAGATGTTCTTCACAGGAACACAGGATGTCACGTCGTCAAATTCTGAATTATTAAATCAAGTTGTCGCAAGGCTAAGGCACGTTTAGCTCAATGCAAATTGTCGCATATTAATCACTCCTATCAGCTATATGCAAAGAGGCTAATTGGGCACCTTGGTCGACGTAGTTCTTCTTCATACGTGTAACTTAATTTTTTGACGGAAACAATGGGAGAAAACAATCAATGGCCCTGGCTACTCCTCGAGCAAGGCAGCCATTACTATATTGGCCCAATAGGGCAATGGAATGTGCTAACAACTTCCCTGGGCTGCTGGAGACATGTGGTATGATTTATCAATTACAGACCTCAAAATACTGCGACCTGCGCTTCCAATACCCCGACAGTAAGTTCAAAGTAAACCCTTCTTTTCCCTCCCCTGTGCGACCCAAGGCAGATGTTACAATTGTGTAAAACATACTGACAGTATTTGAAACACTAGATCATAACCGCATGCCATTCTTTACCGCAGCATAGCGACTTCGAAGTTACCTAACCCGATAGTTTGCCTACGGAAAGCGCGGCCATCACGAGATGGACTTGTACGGCGTGGTCACCCACAAAAAATTGTGTCGAAAACATTGGACCCAAACCTATCCGAAGTAGGAAAGAAGGCACATAACCGGAACGAAAAGCAGTATCGAGATAATATAAATGCTAAATTTGAGCAACTCGAAGTTCCAGATGCCCGGTGCACTGCTTCAAGATATCTCACATCACTGCCCGCGACTGACAGTGCTTGACCTGCCTATGACTCAGTTATGCATCTCTCTCGCAGTGATAACAGAACTGCATCCGCTCTAGAGGTTGGAAAGCATGCACTTTGCGAGAATCTATTTCGAGAATCCACGACACTTGATGCAACGGGATAAACTCCAGAGCGTTGCAACGGAGTGGCGCAGGATATTCCCGAAGCTTCGAGGGATACCATGCCCAGCGGACCTGTACTCCCAGTCTATGCAAGAAGATGAGTTAGGTGAAGAAATACAAGGAGACAGCGCCGGTTTGAGTGCTGACGAAGAGATGTCATCCACTGAGCCCAGCCTTGACTGGGACGACTATGATTCTGACTGGTTTATTTTTCGGACGAAACTCTGGAAAGTTCTTGGTTATAAGAAAGACCTGCTTATCCATGATAAGATCCAGTATATGTGGCAAACTGATCTGGAAATTGAGGTGGTTCGCTGGCCTATTGTGCCTTTGGCAGCGTTTTCCGATCCGGATCTCCACTCCACGACCACCAGCTGCCCCCGGTAACCGGAGAACAATTATCTTGAGTCGCGCAATATGAGGCCCCGATGGACGAGACGAACGCAGTTGGAGACCGATTCCTCGGGGTAAGGTGGGTCAGTAAAATCATTCTTCGTGCTGGGTGGCGAAAAGAGCAAGGATCTGTCGAAACGCCCATTTGAAGTACTTTATGTACAGCTACTTGCAAAAACCGCGCAAATGTTTATACTCCGAGTATTTCGGAAGTCCCAAGCACGCTGATCCTATTTAATAAGTTTTTCCGATGGACACTGTCACGAACTTCCGTACTAAAAAAACAATCACGCAGTTAACGACAATTACATCAAGTCTTTCTCACGTGACTGTCCGCGGCTGAACAGACAACGCCAGGAACTACGACGCAAGTTTGGAAGAGCATTCAACAACATCTCGAAAATGCTGGGGGGAGCTGATCAAAGTAAGAAAGGTAGGTTACGAGATGCCCCGTAGAACAATAGCACTTTAGTGCGGTGCTGGACAACGCAGAAGCATAGCAGAGATTTCGAAGCCGCGCGCCACGAGGGCCGCAGTTTCAATGGTTAGGGATTGTCTATATTTATCGTGCACTCTGATACGAGAACGGTCCTTTTCTAGAAATGTTTCGACGGTCTCATTGGAATAAAAAGCATTAATTAAATAGTTCCTATAATGGATTATTATTTGGGTGTCGAAGTGGGGTACAGGTAGGAACTTATGAAGATCTCGGCACAATAGCTAGCTGTTTCGTATTATTATGAACCGAGGCTTGATCGTCGTTATAAAGGAATACCACTGGCAGATATTGGCCGTAAAAGTTCAGTGCATTGGGACTTGTAACATTCATTGGTTCTACCCATTAGTGATGATAAATCCTCATCACAAAGAACCATCCATAGCCTAAATCAGGTGCAACTAGACAGTTCCATACGCAGAACCATGGCGAATACCCTCTTTTTTCGCACTAACTATTTGCGCTCCGGATCGCTCCAAGAACCTCATCCTGAGATGCACCAGACCGTATAAGACCAACAATGCGAGCTACCATTGCTTGATCTTCATTTCGTATTGAGTCCACCAGTTCATTAAGAAATTCACGGTAATAATCCGCATATTCAGCAGTGGCAGCAGGGCTTCGAGGGTCTGCAGTTGGGTCTACCTGATTATTGTCGTTGGCATTAATTTCGTTGGATAGGTTACTATTGCTGCGAAGTGTTTTTTCAGTTAAGCTATAAACCCATAGATGTATTGGAATAAAGGTTCGGATAGGATCTGTTTACCTTCCTAAGCTGTGGTGGTTCTCTTGGACCATTATTGCTCAAAGGGTTGTTACTTTTTCTGCGACTTGGAAATATTATTTGGTATCTCGGTCGCTGTAAGGTTTGGTAAAATGTGACACAAAGTACATAGGGGAGCCATCAGTGGGAGACATATGTTAATTTCTCGAAGACTATAATAATTTAATCAAGCATTCTCTCCTTCGGGGCGAACCTTGGGCACCCTCCAAAATAGTTCTCGGTCGGAACAACAAATATGCGATCTGAGAATTATTTTCTTTTTAGAAGTTAAAAATTTGATAGTGTACAGGTGCTGCTGCGCCCTTAGTCGTTTTCTGTCTTGTCTTTTTTTTTTTTTTTTTTTTTTTGCCCCAATCGAAGCTACTCCAAGAGTTGCCGTTGAGGACTAGTAATCTGAGAGTCATATGTACCCAATGAATACGAACGTTGACAAAATGACGAGGTACTTAGGTCTATAGGAATTGTTATGAGCTTAATTTATGTATCACTTTCTCAATACACCTAATTCGATACGATACGGTGACTAATCCATACAAGTGTTGTAAAAAATGCTTTTCTGTCTTTCAGGCCCCAACATGTGACCTCCCATTTATAACTCTAAAGGGGTTAACGTTCTATGGATGGGAAGGCAAGTGATAAAATGATGACATGATGATTCGGTTGGGCGGCTCTCATCCATAGGGCTAACACTGGCATTTATATTAAGTGGCAATAAATATAGTTCAATATATTAATGTGCATCATTCTTTGTTCTTCACTATTAACGAAATAATCTACGTACGTGACACAAATCATAATGGAAGCAAAACGGGATAAAGAAGCCCACTCGCAGGCTAGACGATTCCCCAGGATCATTGAGATATAGCGCACTGGGCTAATATGTTACTAGACTCTCTCCGAGGATGAGAAACGCCGCCTCCGCCTTTATGATAGGCTGCCTCATGGAGGAGGGCTGCTCAGACGGCAATCTAGAGTATATTTCTGATAAGGCAGCCCAAGTCAGCTACTGACAAGTGAAAGGAACGGAGGTACTTTGATTCGGGTGATTTGGCTCTCTCTACAGCCGATAGAGTGACTGATGAAGGTGCAATTCAAACTGGCACAGCCCATCCTATACGTGATAGCATTTCTCGTCCTTATGCCCCGGTTCCCAACACCAGTAATGCCAACAAAGATGCGAACAAGGGCTTTAGTGGCAAGAAATCCCAAATTCCGGAAATGATAGATAGTCCTTTGCACCAATCAATCGACAATGCGAATAGGATGCAGAAACCAGAAGGAACAGTTTAGGATGGATTTGACGTTTGTTTTGGTTCAAGTTCAATTCAGAAGAACCTTATGTGATGCTTATGTCAAGTTTGGTAGAAAGAGATCACAAGCTTAGTTACGGCAATTTAGTGGGGTATACCACTATTGTCGTTTCTGCTGGGGTATTACTTTTACCCAGATATAACCATGTCGAGCTTACTATCAAATAGAAATATTTTCTGCTAGGACAGTGATACAAAAACGTTCAATATAAAAAATCGATGCCACCCACCAGGCCATCCTCAAGGTTTCTACCACGCGTGAAACTACTCGAGCAGCAGTACTATTCCCCCACTATGATCTCCATGCTATCTCCCAAAAGGCTAATACAAGTGAGGAATGCGCCCGCTCTTCGCGCTTGCATCGTTCATGGTCAAAACTTTCCTAGGACCAGTTTCGGGAAACCTGCGTGTTAAATTATAGCTTGCGGTAGCTGCTTCCTGAGGTAGAGTATAAGTGACGTTAAGCACTATCGTTGCTGCTCTTGGAACTATTAAGTCTGGTGTCATAACTGTCGCTAGCTGAAATCTCGTATATAGGCTCATAGCATTGCTGTACTCATTGAATGGTGTTGGGGAGCGGCGATTAGTCGTCATTGAAGTATTTGCTTTATGTGATAACAAGCTGTTTAATTCCTTGGCTCTGTTCTTTGGCATTTGTCAGATAATGTGAATCAGTAAGAAAGCATAGGATTCGTACCAATTTGCCAATGTGGCTGCATTGTCGGAACTAGAAGGAATATGGCCAAATATTAGGAATTATCTGGAAAGCTACGTTATCAGGGGGAACAAAATGCCGAGAGAAACATGGCTTAAGTATCTTTTTATTTTAGAAAACAAGGAATGGGATCGTTATGACGTCAGCAACCCTGATAGCAGATAAGAGGCAGACGAGGAATATTTCAAAGGATCTTAGTACGACGGATGTATTATTCTCCGACCCCATTCGCAATCCGTGCTTTCTTCCAATGTCATGTCTCTTTTTTGGACGCATGTGGCCCTGGTCCACCTCCTAACCCCACAATTGAGATATATAATTATGCTCCAGTCTCGTTTGCATCAACGTGAGATATTCTCTCCAAAGGGGGAATAGGATATTAGCGTAAAGGGACATTGGATATTTTAACCTTGGGCTGGTGCCATAAATGTCAAAGAAGAAACCTGGAAGGATTTGTAAGACGAATATTATCCATACCTATAATGGTGCAGTTTGCTTTCTTTGTTCCAACTGGCCCTAGTGTTTGTTTGCTGCATGCATACTTAGTGTCTGTTATTCGTAAAATGGCAAACATGAAAAACGCAGCGGCAATAGAAACAGAAAGAGAGTCAGTCTCTTATAAAGAGAATGTGAAGCTGGTCTTGTAAGTTATAGTTATTCTTTCTTATCTCCATCCCGAGTTCTTTTTCCCCCCACCTAAACACGATTAGCATCAGTGCGAACGTTGTCAATGGCAAGTCCTCCAGCCCCACTCAGAACACTTCTGCCTGCAGTATGTCGCAGCCCTCATAAGCCTCCTACCCCCGTTCACTGTGTCGAGCGAAGGTCAAAGCGGCGGAGTTTAGCTTGCTCGTCGTGTCAACGAAAGAAAGTAAAAGTATGTATTATCTCATAATACGTGCGTTTAAGTATTGCTTATATTCTAAAGTGCAGTGGCCCTCCTCCCTGTGGAGCATGCGCTGCAACGAACAGCGAGTGTTGTTTCGAGCCTTTAACAGACAAACGGCGAAAATTGACACGGAAGGCTGCAGAGAAAGACATGGAAAGCTATCGACATGTATCCATGTACTTAATCAGTATCCTGCGTTCTGGGAAGGAAGATGCTGTGAACAATCTAGTAAAGGAGGTTCAGAAAGCCTCATCCCTTGATTCAGCTCTTGCAGATCTGCAGTCTTTAATTTCTCGGGAGAAGAGCTGATTCTTCTGTTGAAAACCAAACTATTAGGTTCAACTTTTTATTCAAATAGTATCCCGAATAGGAGTCGTATTTTGTTTGATTTGCCACTGAGTTATATCATATACGTGCTTATTGCTGGCTATACACGACTAAAGAGAGCGGTGAAAGACAACAAATCTTATTGTTTCTTAACCTAAGGATATGGTGTTGAATCGCTGTGATGCGATCGGGTCGATCGCATATGTCGGACAGCTCAGTCTTAATCGGTTGTTCATGAAATGCCAATCCTTGAATGGGGCATGGATAGGTGCGATATTAACATGCAAGGGAGGATTGTAAATAATTCTGCAGTATATAGTGCTGTCAGGAGAGATGCATGATCTTCTGAAAATCCTCCCTGGTTGCCTTGCGAGAAGTAAAATCTTTCCTCGTCTTTCAGAAAAGGGGCATAGTCTAGCACAGAATATAGTTATATATACCAACTTTGTAGTAGATCCTATAGTTTCTGTTGTCTTGCTTGTTCTTCTACCACTGATTTGTAAGCGTGATATAACATTATCTGCTGCTCAATCATAAATTACTGGGAGTGCTATTTTGGGCTGGCTTTGGGTCAAGTTCAAAAAGAATTATCCCTGGCTCATCAACAAAATCTTTCTGTAAGGTCCCTGCGCACACACACCCGTTTCCGGAACTGAAAAATCTCTCACAGGCCAGCTTGCCTTAACGCCGCTGCTGGGTTGCTGACGACAGCAGTTAATGTTTCGGCGTCCCAGGCTGGAACCTGCTCCGTCATGGCTTTGACGACAATTATTGTGACAGCATTGACATTCGTGCTGTTTGGTGGCTCGTTAGTCTTCTACAAATTTGTCAAACTGAAAAGAGTTTTAGACGATGATCAACTCGAAGGCCAGGCCCAATCTGTCCTTAGACAATGGGGGCATTCTGACCTGCGATCGGCGTTAGCCCAGGCTCAGGCCGCTTTGGATGATCACAGATTCGTAGCTCTGAAAGCGACTGCTACGGAAGCTCTGGCTCTTTCTGAGCTCTTAGACGGAAGTATGCCTTCAACAGGCGTGGAAACTGACGCCCGTGGAGCTGAAGTCACAGAAATGGCCAACCGACAGGCTCGAAGCAAGGCCAATCGATTGTGTGATTACCTTACCGAACTTTGTTTGGCACATGTGAACGATAGCTCCTCGGACCAAAAAAATGTTCTCAAGGGCAAATCAGGCTCTCATACTTGACTTCTCCTGCCCACGGCCGCATTTTTGGAACGTCGTCTACAATTCACACCAACAGCACTGCGTAAGGCGAATGACTCTACTTTTCCGCTTAATGAGCCGCTTCTCGATCTCATATTTCGCTGGGTAGATACTACTTTTTTCTCAATTAACCCTCATCCGTTCCCTGTCTCGAAAGCTTCAATATTAAGTAGTGTTCATGCAAACAGTTAGTCCCTATGTAAAGTCATATTGCACGTCCTAGATACAGCGATGACGATGAAGATGATTACATTTCCCCGATATAGCTCGCTCCAAAAGTGTACGCTGTTCGGGAGTGCTGTCAAACCGCGAGATAGTGGGTACCGGCTAATGAGACACTAGTAGATGCCCTCACGTGGGTTCCCGCTTGCTTTTCCGAGATAACAAAATGTAAAGCAAAGTAAACAAAAACCCTCCCTTGAATTACCTTTGACCTGTCGGCCGCCGTCTGTGCGTGCACATGGTGACCTTCGGCCGATACTTGAACAATTCCTGGTAGAATCTTTCGCTCCAACCAGAGGGACCTCTGTCTATTCATCACCATTAACTTCAATCTAACACACCCGCTGTAGCCTGCTAGTGCACTGCAGGAACAATATTTGGTGACAGCATTACAGCACTGTAGACAAGAACCAGATGCATAATGTATAAACTTGGTTGCCATCCCTGGAATAGGCCCATTCTTTCAAGCGGCCGGACAAAATACTGCATAGCCCCGAGACCATTATAAACGGCAACCCGAGCAACTTCCAAGGTAAGCGGCACCGGCTGGCCCAGTGGCCCTGCGAGACCATGGATGACCGGAACCAGGGCAAGCAAGCCAAAGGAAGTGCAGTGATATTGAAACTTGACGCTTGACACATGAGAGCCCGGGGTTCGTACCAGCACTTCGACCAGATGTCCCACAAAAAGCAAGGAGATAGCGCAAATGTACCCGAGTTGCACCAAGGAGTGAGTGGAGAACTGAAGAGCGACGTAGGAGATGGTGGTTGCATAAATCAATAGCAAGATGCCTCCGAACTCAAGTTTCTCCCAATAGCATGCATTGGTGCTACCAAGGACAAGGAGGATACGGTAGGCGAGACTCAGGAAACACCAGGAGACGACGCCGACGCCGAAGAGAACTGTCGCGAGCGAGTTACTGATATCCGCATGGGACACAGGGAATTGAAAGAGTAGACATTGAAGTGTAAATAAAGAAAAATAAGAGATCCCAAAAATATCGAGAATAGCGATCACTGTGGAGTCACGTAGAGTAAGGATATTAGGACCCTCCATCGAAGAGATATACTCTTGATACCTTCACCGAGCGATTGTGATCAGGATTTTGCTTGCCACCAGAGTCTGGGCAGCAATCTTCTTTTATAAGTAAGAATTAAGGGGAATAAGATGGAATGCAATTTTGACAGCGCCTGTAGAGCCGATGCGGAGAAAGCGTTCATCTGAGCCCGCGGAACTCTTTCAGAAGACTTTTTTGACCATTTACTACTTTCACGCCTTGCATTTTGTTGTCCTGCAGGCTGGTTACATCTGATCCATTGAATAAATTCATCTTCCGGGATGTCTCTTCCATCGTTCAAAATGGCACCCTTCGCACTGCGAAGTCGCCACAAGATCGCCCGGTGTGTGAATCTACGTGAGAGAGAAGATGCATATTAGAGAGGCTAAGCGATATTCTTTTTTGCACTCAATAATCTATACGAGGCTTATATCAACATTCGATCTCATTTCAGGGGCCAATCACTCACCAAGAGATCCTAAACAAATGATGAAAACATATTTGAGGCACTGACCAAAACAACTTGTAACTGCACTAATCTGCTTCGGGCGTGAAGGCCAGATATACTTAGCCTAACTGACAATAGCCAGCAATCGAACACAAAAGCGACCGCGGTAACCAGGTAACTGATTGAGGCTATACCAGTGAGAACCCATGGCAGAAACTCGACTTTTGAACGATGGTATATCGCACTAGTCACCCAATGGAACGAAGCGATACCAACGTAGTCAAAAGAGATGAACAGAAGAAAAACAGATGCCTGGTTGATGTGCACATTAGGGTCCCAATAAGACAGAAGGCTAAGTTTGCTACCGTTGAAGTACCAGCAAACATGAAACAGAATATCTTCAGTTGGTGATGTTGGAAGGTGGGATGTCGTAGGTGGACATAGACTTGAACAAACTGTGACTAGATCAGACCCCTCACAAAACCTTCTTTTGTTGCTCTGGTGGAAAATACCATACCCCCTGTATGGAGACAAGGATGCCAACTGTAGCGAGAAGGATTCCCGTGGTAGGTGACTTAACCACTATCAATATGGGGATTGAATGGGTAGTCAGTAGTGGGCATGCGGAAATGGAAAGGGACAGGCTAAGTCTAGGGATGAGACCAGCTTGCTGAGCGAACATTAGGGCAGACATATCACCGAATCAAGACGCACGCATCCCTGATGGATCCACAGTAAGGGTGGACGGTCGATGGCATACATGCCCATTTAGGCTGAACGGACCCCGAGAAGAGATACGGTGTGGATGGAATGCCGCGATTTATTCAGCATCACTATTTGCGGCTAATGTAACTTAGTCTGGAAGTTTTTCCACTCATTGCGTAAAATTAACTAAGCTTTCATTTCACCAGAAAACCCAACGGCTTTTATGACAATGTCCCTGACCCAGCTTGACTGGATATTAGTGCCTATATACAGGATGGGAAAGCTCAAAGAACCATACAATATACCACCTTATAAAAAGTGCTCATCTCCGTCATATAATCATAGCGACATGATGTAGGGTGGCCCCGCGGCGATTGATGAATTGATGATATCTTACGCGTGATAGGTCTGTTACGGTAGGTTGGTTGGTTGGTTGATGTCATTTACCCTGACCCCTCGCGAGTTGGATCTCAGGCTACATGAGTTATAGACACAGTGGCGGCCTGATAGGCTGCCACCATCCCCCTAGGCAGAAGGCAATTACAAATAGCTGCACCAAGTGATAAATTACCGATTGGTCCACTACGAGCGAGGATAAGCGTTAGCGTGAACTGTCAGAGAGAATTCCCCGAATGCATGGCGATTGGTACCGTATCTATAGGGCCGAAATCGGTATCATTAGCCTGGGCTGAATTGGTCAAATTCTTGCCGAGGCTTCTGTGTAAGCCGCAAAATCAATATAGCGACTGTCAATTCATTTCTTTATTGACTTGGAACTCTAGATTTATCCTCATGTAAACATTCCTTTGAACATGAAGGTTTGGTCATCGAGCCCCAAAGCCCCACTTCCCTATCGGGTCATGCATGCCATCGAAAGGGCGTGCCGCGTATTTACAACGGTGTTAGTTGGAGGAATGGTGTGTAGACCTTCAAGCATAGTAATCCTACGAACATGCCTCATTCTTCCTACTCTATCGATTCGTCAGAATTAAAACCACACAGACAAATACGAAGGGGAATGGTTGCTTCGTCTGACAGGACGAGAAACCGTCCCTCCTCATCCTCATCTTCAAACATTAACACTCCTCTTCCAGGTGTCTTTGATGATGTCCCAATAACGCTCCTTCTCGAATCTGACATGATTCACGTGTGGGCTTCCCACAAATTCCTCCATTGTCACATACTTCGATGCATCGTCGACTCCACACGCCGACATGTTCTCTACTGCAATATCTGCATGCTGGATCACTTGACACACAGGGATCATATCATCGCTAGGACCATATATATAAGCCCTTGGTATCGGGCGTAGAGCAACCTGCTCTGCAGTAGCAGCCCTTCGCATAAGAAACACATCGTTTGTGGAGTTCAACCGAGCGTAAAGTTTCGTGGCTACGTGAGTCACAAGACCTGCTTTCTCGAGAGCAAGCGTCACCCCGATGATACTGTATGCCACAGCCTTCGCCATAAAGGCGATCAGTATGTTCTTGGAGGGCGAGCCTAGCGCGAGTGCATTGGCCATTGGCGCGAAGATGGGCATGCTAGGACAAGAATCGAAGATAATTGATGTGACGGGCAGCGCGAATGGTCGATGATTCTTCTCACAGGCTTCGGAAAGTTGAACAGCGGAATGAGAGCCAGTGTTGGAGAATAAATGAAGCAAAACTTTTAGGTCGGGCGTTGAGTCCATGTATCCTCGAAGAACTGTGGCGGCAGGCTGGAACCATTGCATCTGGGAAGTGTCTGATTTCCACATCATGTTTGCGACGCAGTTGTTGATGAGGAGAATTTTGGCGGTTGGGTAGAGAGATTTGTGTCCGTCAATGTATTTTGCAATGTGTCTTGCTTGGGCGAATCCCCAGGCACAGATGATGATGACATCTGGGTTTGATTGTGTCGAGTTGGATTTTTCAGTCGGAGTGCCTTGCTGTAATGGCGAATAAAGGGATACTCCTTGACTCAGCTGCATGAAACCGGCGTGGCGGAGAATCGTCGAGTCTGCCGACATCTTGATTGATACTCTTGTAGCCAGGCAAGGTGGTTAGGTTGGTGCTATAATTAAACGAGCGTCGAGAAGGTAATCGAAAACCAAATCTTTATAGTACAACGTCAAAATTTTCAACACTGTTACATGTGGTGTAGATGATCAGTAATCCAACAAAAACAAAAGTCCAGGCAGCTATGCACAAAACCTCGGTTCGGACGGTGGAGACAGCCAAGTGTGGGCTGAAATAATAATGATGACGATATCACTGCCGAGTTTGCATCGGCTTCCCGACCGTATGAAATCGCAAATGTCGCTTTATTCATTTCGGTATAATCAAATGTTCCGCACAAATCGCTTTGGCGACGCGTTTTTTATCCTTTTCCATTAGCACAACGCACATCCAAATTTCATGGTCCTTGCATAACATCGGCAATAGTACAAAGACCGAAATTAATATAGAAGGCACTGATTTGTGCTCATATCCAAGATACACACCAGGCTATTCAATGGTCCTAAATTCTTATAACTCGAGTCGCGCTTTCACCTCTCGAGGTGCGTTGCGATTCGTGAATATAACATGGAGATCAGAAGGATTGGGTTTTGCAATGAAGATTTGAGGCACAACCGAAAAAGTGACAATACTAATGATCATCTCCAGCATAATATTAGAGTAGTCGAATTTCTCTCGGATTGCGTGTAGAGGCGATTTGTCCCTTTTATTCAATGACACTTAAGCATAGCGAGCAGAGAAGATACAAGATACCAAGCAACGAGGAATTAAGTGCCCGATAATCTTATGCAAATCTTGTCTTGCCACGCACAATCATTCCTCGCGGACGGCCGTGGTCGTCACCTGATCGACGGCCTGAGCCTAGCGAGGTAATCGTCTTTCATTATTACAGACGACTGTGGGGCAACCTCTATATTAAGCGGCCGTAGTATATTTCATACACAACTTTACGCCATCGTTAATTCCATGTGTATTAGACTTCGTAAATTTGTAGTCTTTGTACCTCTCTACTGCCAAGAATTTCGCTTAATTCAACATTGCCGTATACCACATCATTGTAATAGCCTGAAAATATGATGACCGTGATAAAAAAAGCCCATTCACATATAATTGTCCTTCATACTCATCTCAGACGTCTTGATGGGTGATCTTGGCGTCCCAGTAGTCGACGGCAGATTTCCTAGTAGTACATGACGCCCTGTATTTCAGCACTAGGACATACTATTTTCTTTGTTTTTTTCAAAGCAGCGATACCACAATCCATCCAGTTGAGGTAATTCCTATTCACAAATAACCATTAAATTGTTGTTAGAGGGTAAAAATGCTGGACTCTGTAGGTACCTCGCGGCTGTTTCACCATGTAGGGCATTTCATATCACCGGGATGGGGGGTTACACTTGCAAGCCTGGAAACGTCACAAAGGACGTTTGCACCGATATCAGACGATAACCACCTAGATATAACTAAATATCCCAAGCCCAACATTGCTTATACTCTTATCGACCGTATTCGAAGAGTGTATCCGTAAATTGTTTCTTTGAATACAGTAAACCCGTTTTCAAACAACTACATGGCTGCCTGAATTTTCAACAACTTATTTTGTTTCTTCACACACTATAAGTACGATGTTCTCTGTCCGCTTCCCATGTTAATGCTCTATCATTCCAGCTAGTCCCACGACAGGCCAGGTTACCGTTTGCAGAACAGCCCATTCATCATGAGGCTTTTCCTTTGGTTACTGCTAGTGAAGTCCTGGTTTGCTATTGCTACGGTCGTTTCACATTCTGGCAGCGCGAATAATTCAGCACTTGGGACTCGTGCTGCGGGAGAATATCTCTCGGTGGCCTATTTTGTCAACTGGGTCAGTTAGCATGGCGCAACCCGGACTATTCTCATCTAAGCACAGTACATTGACTAGCCCTTTAAAGGCAATCTACGGCCGTAGCTTCAATCCTAGTGACCTCCCTGTCGACAAGCTGACGCATGTGCTGTATGCCTTTGCGAATGTGCGCCCCGATACCGGGGAGGTATATATGACGGACTCTTGGGCCGATGTTGAAAAACATTATCCTGGAGACTCCTGGAATGATGAAGGAAACAATGTTTATGGCTGTATCAAACAGCTCTTCCTTCTCAAGCAAAAGAACCGAAATCTTAAGGTACTTCTGTCCGTCGGTGGCTGGACTTACTCCACCAACTTTGCTGCTGCGCTAGGAACTGCCTCTGGCCAGGCAAAATTTGCCTCATCTGCTACGGATCTAGTCAAAAACCTTAGATTCGACGGTATTGACATTGACTGGGAGGCACGTTACGCATCTCCCTATTACACGTCACATTGTCGTACTAAATAGGACCGCAGTACCCTGCCGATGATGCCCAGGCCAATAACATGGTCTCTACGCTCGAACAGCTGCGTACGGTTTGTACTACTAGACTCAAGCTTCTAAGAAAGGAGACCTAATCTCACGGGTTGGTAGTCACTAGATGCCTACAGTGCTGCAAATGCCAACGACTACCACTTCTTGATCACGGTTGCTTGCTCGGCCGGTAAGTTGGGTCGGCACCTGTGACGATTACGCATTTGTGGCAAGGCTAACCGTTGACTAGGTTCGACAAATTACGAGAAACTTCACATAGGCCAGATGGACACTTACATCGATTTCTGGAATCTGATGGCCTATGACTACTCCGGTAGTTGGGGCACAATTGCCGGGCGCCATGCCAATGTCTATGCTTCGACAGCCAGCCCATCCACCACTCCATTCAATACTGACCAAGCAGTAGCCTACTATACATCTAACGGAGTGGCTGCTGACAAAATCGTCCTGGGTATGCCTCTTTACGGCCGCTCTTTCATGGGAACAGCAGGGCCGGGCACGCCTTTCACTGGAGTAGGTAGTGGTAGCTGGGAAAACGGCGTGTGGGACTACAAGGCACTGCCCCTGACTGGTGCCACCGTCAACTACTTATCACAGCCGCTTGCGAGCTACAGCTACGATGAGGCACGGCAAATGATGGTCAATTATGATACTCCTCAAGTTGCACATGATAAAGCCCAATATGTGATTTCCAAGGGCCTTGGCGGGGGGATGTGGTGGGAGAGCAGTGGCGACAAGGACGGCACTGATAGCTTAATTACGACGGTATGTCGGCGTGACTGCTCCCGGTGCGATTCCCGCGCCGTGGGTACGATTACTGATCAAATTTCAAAGGTTGTTGACATTTTTGGGACCCTGAGGCAAACTCGGAATGAACTGAATTATGCTGCCTCCTCATACGACAATCTGAAAGCGGGTTTCCCATCTAGGTAGCGTGGCAGTTCAATGACTTGCAGTGCGTTTGTTTGTTCATTTGTATTTCATGAGCTAGTTCTTCCCCCGACCGAGCGATTATAGCACTGTGACGTATAGTATTCCTGCATCCTCCGTTTCTTACGTCTAAACTTTCAAATACGAGTGTTGCAACTACGTCACATCGGGATCCCGGTTTATGTAGTAGCTAAGTTCCTTGCCCTACGCGTACAAAAGAACATGTCATGATAGCCCTCAAATGTACATGGTTCTAGCGGCATACCTTCTAGTTTCTTTTTGCTTTGATCTTACTCGCTTAAGAAGCCTTGCGGAAATTGTCATAGGCAATGTATTGCCCTACCGGGCGCATGAAGAATTCGGACCCAGTTTTGTCGTTCAGTCTATGAGTTATAGAAAAGGCAGCAGTGACTTACCCGTCGTACATGTGACCGTACATGTGAGAACGTGGAGAACGGTTCGCTTGGTAATTACACATCAATATCTTGTGCACACTGCATATGAGAGAATAGGCTATTTTTCTACTGTCAAGTACTTTATATTATCATATCCACAAATAGACATCTTCAGGGCCCGACAGTGGGCTCAACCCTTGGGCCCAAAGCCCGACCCGACGTGGGCCCGTGGCTCAACTTTTAGGCCCAAGCCCGACCATTCGGCCCATGTCGGGCCCCCGATGGGCCCCCAACAAAGCCCATTGTTGCATAAAAGTCCGGTCTTGGCGTTCATAAAGGCGCTTAATAATCTAATTAAATAACGGTTTTTTACGTCCGTTCTGGTTCTTCTCATAAAAATACTGTACCTGGGCACCTCCAAATTGAAAAATGTAGGAAATCACTCCGAAATAAGAATAATAATCCCTCGTTCACTATTAATTGCTATAGAGGAAAATTACTTTCTACAGTTTTAAGTGCTCGTTATTGACAGAAGAATTGTTCTTCCATGGAGGACAATATATATCTTTTATATGGGCGAGTATATATCGCACAGACGCCTACTAATGACCTTCAGTACTGCAGACAACTCCTTTCCAAACCTCAACTAAGGCCGGATTCTCTTTAGTATACCACCCTGCCTTATATATGCCTGAATCATATCTATTTTAATATGATCGTCTGGACAGAAGTGTTATGTTTTGCGTTGTACTTAGGCCGTGACCACCGGGTCCTGGACTGTTGGTTACTATTTCTGAGGTCCCTAGCGCCGAATAGGCTGGGAATAGGCTTCTGTGGGCTATCAATGGGCCATCCATGGGCCCTTACCGGTTATTCGTGGGCTATCGTGGGCTTTGATGGGCTTTGACGGGCCTGACCTACTGAATTATGATATCTACTCCACAAGATCCTAGTAGAATGATAATTGCTTTTGATTTGAGCTACCCGACACGGCTCTCATAATATCATGCTGAATCTAGCTCTCCTTACAGGTAAGTTTCTCCTTTCTCTGGTTTTCTTGATGACCGTGATGATCTACAAGCTAGTCAAAGCTTAACCATGTCCCAGAGCCAGCAGTCCGACTTACCATCGTCTTTATATGATGGGGAAATCGATAATCTGACATACCATGCTTATTTACATCCCCTCGCAACCCCATCGGATACCCAACCTACCTTTGACGCCCTTGATGCTTCCTTCCTCCGACCGGCGGCTCCCCCCACTGTTCCATCTATCCTTGAGCATGTTGGACCCGATCGAAGAAAAGCTTATATCCTTTACAACGAAATGGCTCACAATGAATTTGTTGAGTGGTGGCTGCAGACGGACTATGGAACAAGAAGCAAGATAAACTGGGACTCAAACCATCTCTCTGATGTCTGGAAGCACTTTGATCAGGTTGCCCATAATGTGGACGGCGCACCAAAGGTTATGTGCAAACGATGCGGCCAGATCCTTGAGCATCCTTACTCGAAAAACAAGGACCGTAAGGGAAGGGATACAGGCCACGGCTTATCAACAATGACAAGGCATCTAAAGACTGCAAGCTGCTTACGATCGGATAGCCGGCGGAAGGGTGAAATATCTAAGTTCCTACAAAAGGGGGTACGTTCTACAATAAGGACAGTATCAAGATACCCATATTAAACTTAACTTCAATAGGATACTGCCCCGACCGACATTCCGTTCTCCCAACAAGGTTGGGAAGAGACGACCTTATCATTTCTTTCACTTAATCGACTTCCGTTCACGCTTATCGAGCACCCAACATTCATCCGCTTGATCAAAATGGCCCGGTCCGCGCCATCTTGTCCGTCTGTCCCCTCTGCGATCACGATTCGTCGCCGTCTCAAGACTCTAGTACAGGATCGGCAGCAAGGCATCCTTCGAATGCTTCCACCAGAATCCAAGATTTCAATTGCACTTGATTGTTGGACCTCACCATTTTCCCAAGCTTTTATGGCTATTACCGGCTATTTTATTGACGCAGACTGGGTATATCGGGAGGTTCTTCTTGGATTTAAGCCGCTCCGTGGGGCACATACGGGTTCGAATATGAGCAATATTCTTTCCGAGATACTTATAGGGTATCAAATTCAAGATCGAGTCTTCGGGCTAACAACGGATAATGCGTCAAACAACAAAACGCTTGTTGATTCTCTTCAGCAAGTCTCATCTGAGGACGTGAATCTAATTCGGACGCCCTGTCTTGCTCATGTTATCCAACTTAGTCTGAACCAGCTTCTAGATTGTCTGAATGCAATTCCGCTCAATGAAACCGCAGAAACTAAATGGACCGACCGGCAATCGTCAGCAGCAAAGGCCAACGCAAGACAGCAAAAGTATCAGATTTCATCTACTTTGAAGAAGGTCCGGTTTCTTGCGGTTTACATTAATGCAAGCCCTCAGCGTCGAGAGGCGTTCAACAATCTTCAACCAGACGGACCCAAGCTCGTTCCTATCCAGGATGTTCGGACTCGGTGGAATTCAACCTTTCTTATGCTTCGTCGCGCCAAGCGACTCCGCCCTATCTTTACTCCGTTTTGTGCGGATTATGACTGCGAAGAGATGCTGCTAAGTGACGAAGAGTGGCGCCAAATTGACTATCTTCTTTATATCACGGAGCCATTCTTTCTTTACACAACTGAGCTTTCAAAGACTCGCGATGTGACATCGCATTTAGTCTTCAAGATTTATAATGTGCTTTTCGATCATCTTGAAAAGTCCATAAGCCAGCTCCAGCGAAAGCGGGTTCCATGGAAAATCCAGATGTTGGAGGCGCTGAAGGCTGGCCGGCGGAAGCTTGATGAATTCTACTCCGAGACCGACGGCGCCCGTGGACATCTCTATGCGACCAGTACCATGCTTTCCCCAGATAATAAGTTCCAGTTCTTTTTGACTGATGACTGGGACAAGAAGTGGCGGGATATTTACCGGAATTCCTTCCAGGAAGCTTTAGCTCCCTATCAGCAACGGCTAGCAGGGGCCCAAGGATCATCTAGCCCCCATACAACAGCAAGACCAAGCTCAGGACTAAGCCGGCTATTAAAAGGGTATAAGCAACAAGCAAAACCGGTCCGGGATGAGATAACTCAGTATCTGGACAGTGGTATGTTTATCGATCTTCGATCTCTCTCCCTTACTGAGCCTTTACTAGATATAATCGATATGGAACCTCTGCCTTTCTGGAGGGATAACCAAACCCGCTTCCCTGCAATTGCATCGCTTGCACGGGATATCCTTTCCGTTCCAGCAAACGGTGCAGGCGTTGAGAGACTTTTCAATACTGCCCGTGATCTCTGCCATTACCGGCGCGGTCAGATGAAGTCCGAGACAGTTGAAGAACTAATGATCTTTCTTTGTACTTCCAGATTTGATCTTGAACAACAAGAGATGCAGTATCTTCAGGAATATTTTACTCGTGATGAGATAGAAACGCGGAGGGAAGAAAGAGACGAGAAATTAGGGCATATAGAACTTGACGAGATTAGCGAGACTGAAGAACAGGATATGGAGCGAGACGAAGAGCAGGATAGGGATGATTCTGAGCCACAGCTACCAGAAATCAATCCCCAGCAGCGTGTGTCAGGAAGGAAACGGAAGATGAGAGGACGATGGCTTCCAGCACTACTAGCAGATCAGTTAAAAGAAACAGTATGCCAGTATGAAATATTATAGTAAAACTTGCCACTAAATACAAGAGCTCCCTGTATCTGAAACGCTCGAAATACCAGGAAAGTAATGCATAAGTTATGTAGCCACGAGGTCAAGCGCTGTTTGCATCGTTTAGCAGAGTTTTGAGGGCCCATATGGGCCCCATGCGTGGGCTTTGGGCCCGTAGAGAGAGCCCAAAGCCCATCGCGGGCCCTAACTCTGGGCCCGAAAACCGACCCACGCGCATGGTCGGGCCGGGTCGGGCTTGGGCTTTCATGGGCCCTGAAGATGTCTAACAGTAAGTACTGGAAGCTGAGTAGTGATACAGTGAATTGATATAAGGTAATCTATATTTTTACAGTATACTCTCTTAGAAACTGAGCAATTTCAGAGTAATTCGTTGACTATCTGAGGGCCAAGCGCTGAAGCGGGGCGTCAGATATTATCCAATAGAAGATGGATGCGTAATGTGAAACCAGCCCCGCGCTGAAGACGCTAGTGCTATAGGGCTAAGGCTTCTAACACATCTTCGTTCAGAGACAAGCCTAGCAAGGCCTACGACCAATCAATCCACGTCTGGCCTTCAGTGGTTCATGAAGCTGATATTTGTCCGTGAACAAAATGACTGGTAATCCATTATATAAAGCCAGTTGAACTTCGTGTAACTCCTCATCGGAGGAAATCTTGCCCCTCTCGGCTCCAATCATGACTCCATGCAACAACCGGTAAGGGTGAATGAATTTCCTGGGTGAGATATCACTAATAATTGTGCAGAGTATTTCTGTCCAAGCTCCTGAAGTTCACCATCGGCACTGATTGTGAAGAAGTTCTCATCCACAGTGAGATACTCAAATCGCATTCGACGCCCTGGTTCGACAGCGATGGCGGTAGTTTTGCTGGTGATGAATCTATCATAATCAAAGACACAGATAAACATATTTTTAGTCTTGCCTGTCAGTACTTGTACACTGGAGACTACTCTATTACGATTCCCAACGACACTCCACCTCCCGGCCTGACTTCCGGTGGACGAGAAAAGGTGGAGCAGGCCCGTGTACTCGAAGGATGCCTCTTTCGAGACACAGAGACGGTGGAACAATTCGCGGACTACCTTGTACGGCGGATTCAGCCACGGCCCTCTGAGGGTTCGCAAGGTAGCTTTAGTCCTACGATGGATTATACCGAAATGCTTCTCACCCATGCTCGCCTTCATGTTTTTGCAGCAAAATATGGACTACAGGAGCTGCATGACATCTGCCTCTTCAAGATATTGCATCTCCTGCATACTTTCCCAATATGCCAGGATCGCACTGGGGATATTGTTCGGTTGTTTGACTTTGCTCTCCGCGCGGGCACTGAGCGGTGCGAGAATCTAATCAGAATGGTGTGTCATTACGCTGCTTGGCACATCCGATTATTTCTGCACAACAGAGAGTTCGAGATACTTCTGCAGGAACAGCCCACTTTAGTTAAACTTTTACTTACTATAATGAGTGGTAGCCCTTAGTAATGAATTGGTCGAGACTTAATAAATGGGACTCCAGTTCCGTGTGTCTATGCCAAGGCTTATAGAACGGTGCGATTATCTCAAGGTCCAGACCATGCGTAACTAAATCATCGCGGAATCATCGCGGAACCAGCTGGGTTGTCTTAATCTAAGCAGCTTGCTTTACTTTACGGATTTAGGAGGGTTAGTCTTCCTTCAGAGCTCTCAATCTTCAAGAGGTTCTAAGCAGCAAGTCCGCATGGCCAAGCTGATCACGCCGGAACACAGAAGAACATTATCAGGCAAGATTCATTCAAATAATATGGCCTTCTTAGGACAAAATATACAAGACCCCTCCATCCTCGCTTTAATTATTGCAGCGAAGATATCCTCCATAGTTACCGGGATTGGACGAGGGTATCATTCATTTTGTTACGTCAGCGAGGTTACTGCATTAGATATTATACAGGTTCGTGGGACTTCCATGCAAACTAGTCAAACCACCCCAACCAGACACTCGTGGTACACCGTTTACCCCACCTTAGATAGGAATCGACGATATCACAATTCCCTAGTCGACGAATTCACGGAAGCCCATCTTAAAATATTCCCTTCATCATCTAAGCACTTCTAAAATTAAACAGCTGCGTTGTCCACTTGCCTAGAGGCCTACTGAACCTTTCCCTTGCAGTATCCCACGATGTCGACTGGAGAGTTTGCTGGCGGCTTACTCGATTTGTCGTATGAAGATTTTACGAAAATGTATGCCAATGTACTGTATCTTAATTGTGGTCTATCGCTGATATGCTCTATCTAGTCAAATGCCTCTTTACCATGGCCCTACAGTTAAGATAAAGATCGGAGCCGCAACATACGACGTCTCCAAGTCGCTTATATGCAGACACTCGCCGTATTTTGCTGCAATGTTCAAGGGGAATTTTAAAGAAGGGGAAGACCAATCAGCAGTGCTAGAAGAGGTTGAAGGAGTTGTTTCAAATAGAAGCTTTCAATTGCTTCTCCAGTGGTTATACCTTGGTCGGGTTATTCTTGGCAAAGAATCTCCAGCAGAGTGGATATCTGCTATGATTGAACTCGCAAGACTCGCAGACATGCTAAGCATTGATAACATGGAGTCGCCGATAACTGAATATATCCAATCAACTATTTTGGCCAATCCTCCCCCAAACAATAATATTTGTTTCAGAGACCCCAATACAAATGTCCACCACATCACTCCTGGGAATGTTGACGCAGCGAGTCATTTACCTAAGGAACACTCGGTTCGAATGCTACTTGTTAAAGCAGCAATAGATGCGTACCTACACTGCGATGACTTTAAATTCTCCGAAGAACTTCGAAACGTACCAGATTTTGCAGCGGATATTCTAGGGGAGTTGAAGATAGCTCTTCAAAGCGTTACGCTCGGGAAGTATACACCTTGCCACTTCAAGGACCCTTTGAGCGGGAAAGAGCTACGCTTTCTTGAACACGCCAAAGTATCCCGTTAAGTTGAATGTGGCCGCATGTGGCCTACCTCGAGTTGCATGCCACGAGTAGGTACTGCCTGATAGTAATTTATGACTCTAAGCCTTGAAATATTCATCCTACCGTATCTCACATGGTCTGAAGCTCAGTGGTGCTAGTAAATATCCGGGTTACACCCAAGGTGGAACAGCTGGTTCGTGAAATTCTGCCTTCTCATTGCAACCCAACCCATCCATGTAGGACGAATACGGGGGATAAGGAACGCAGTACAGAAGTATCTCTCAAATCAGATAACAAATCCAGGATGAGGTTTTATTCAATGCTCTTCATTTTACTACCCGTACTGAATCGTAGGGTATAGCACTATGGAGCTGGGATTACATATACTAGCTTCCAATGAAGGATTAGAGCTTATCTAGTTTATGTAATGATGCTCTGGCGACATACGCTAGCTCATTTTGTGGCAGCATGTGACAATAGCCTTATAATGAAGTACATCGTTAGTCTGGCAGCCTTTCCAGGCGACATTTATGGCCACGTGATGTATTAATGTGCATGTATATTAAGCAGTGTCCTTTTCCCTTTCCTTCAGCCAGAGCCTGGTATGATTAACAAATCTGCGTGCCGCACCTACCGCCACTCCCTGGCGAACAAAGAAAACGGGGCTTTCCTTGCGTGTTATGTGCAATGCCAGTGCAATGCCAAACAATTTGTCTAACGATCCTTAGTACAGGATTAAATTCATTGGGAAGTATCCACATAGAATAATAAGTACTTTGTATGTTGAGTTACAGACTGTATACATTATTTTGCGTTATAGAACGGCCAGTACAATGCAAAATACAAACCCCGTAGTAAGGGCTTTAAGAGACATTTACAAAAGTGACTTACTATATTTTATATAAAGGTGCCCAAAAGTATTCAAGTGTATAAACATTTGCGCCAGTATTGCAACCAGCTGTAAAAAATACTCTATACTCTCTTTCCACCAAAATACCTTGATATAATCTAGGGAGACGTCAGAAATCGTCAACCGAGGACGTGAAAACGGGAAGCAGGCCGAAATCTGGACTAGCGATTATTTAATGGGGATTTCATTTCTACGGTCGCACTTGGACGAACCAGTTAACTTCTCCATGGCTTATCTAATGTAAGTATGCTCCTGTACAAGCGCCTTGACTCGAATATACTCAAAGATCATGAGGATAGTCCTCCAGGTATCTGACATTCAAGCGATGGTTGTCTACGGTGTGCCTCCGCCAACACATATCGTTGTCCACCGACTCGTTGCAGTAGTTACAGTGACGATCGTCCAGATGCACGGCTCGGAAGTGTCGTAACAGACCC